ATCTAGATAATCCTTTTGCCCATTTGGGTATGTAGGTATTCTTCTCACCTTGATAAGGAACAACTCCCAAAAACTGATCCAAAGAATTCTGATTTTATGCCTTTATGTTCATGACCAGACTTAAATCTTCTTGCTAAGTCCAGGCAATATGATGTACTGCCTTAATAAAATGTTTAAAATTCAACATCATTTGTAATCAGTAACCTTTTCTAAGGGAGGACAGGTAATTGATAATGGCTCTCATTTTTCTAAATGTCTAACCAACATATTTCTCCTACTATGGAGGAACTCTATTTTTTTAGCCAATGTTGGAGGGAAAAAAATAAAACCAGCACTATAAGTATGCAATATTAACAAGAGACACACATTCCATATTTTATTTATTACATAGAAGGCATTATTTGGTATCTTGCCCAAGCAACTCTACACGGTGGGAATTATTTATAATGGCATTTATTCTATTTATGATCAAATGGAGTTTTCCCCATAGCCTTTTTGTACATGATAAAAATAATGAATACAAAATTTCTTCTCATGGCAACTTTATCTTCACAAATTTCTGCCATTAAATTAAACACATCCTAGACTACATCTGCCCGATCACGGGCACATTCCCAGTCCATGGCCCTCAGCTCCCCTGTTCAAAGTTCAGTTATTTCCAATGACCTTCCACAGCAGACAGGGTCAGAACGCTGAACACCACCCACCAACTAGAACCAGGGTAAGAAACTCTTGACATAACTGATATCTCAAATCTATCTTATCTTTTGTTCCTGCCTTGCTCCCTATCTCCTCCTCAGGTCCAGATAATTGCTAATTCTCTACTAAGCTATCAAACAGTCTTCTCATTTTAATTACTATCTTTCCACACTCCAGTTTATTGGATAGTGACTTGAAAGTCATTGAGTCATCAGAATCCAGTGAGATTCTAACATGGGTTACTATTTGCAACTCTGGCTGTTGAAATTTTTTATTATTGTGACACCCAACATGTTGACTCTCAATGCATTTCTCACAGAAAATTCACTAAGCCGTAGACTTACAATTAAAGGTAATTTCTTCCATTTGGAAAGGGGAGTTCTTAACCAACATCCTTCTGCCTTCCAAAAATAATAATAATAATAATAATTTAAACAAACAGGGATAAAATTCTGTCCCCAGCACTTAAAAGACTTTAATAGACAACACAAGTAAGATAAGTTACCTACATTTTTAACTTTCCTTCCCTACCACTTAAAAAATATAGAACCATATTTTGATGTAATATACACAAAGTCTTAAGTGTGCAGGGAATCATCCTCTGTGCCACCCAAGTGTGTCTGAGTGTGTGTACGTTTGATACACAGAGAAAGGGAATAGTCTGGAAGTGTGCTATTCTTGTTACAATGTCAGCTAAGTGCCATTATAGGGTCTCCATAGTATAATAATTTTTTAAATGCCATTGATCTTTATCTAGAGTAAACCATGTATAATTTCACATTTTACAGTGAATATGTTTCAAATATTTTTCCCCAATTTATTTTCTGGAGAGAATCACAAGTCATTAACTCAATTTAACTCAGTAGATTATGTTTACTTTATTTCCTAAGTCACTAATTGCTAAAGAGGGAATAGCTAACTATGTATAAAAGACTATGTTGAAACTTCATTAGGCTTACGTAAATATCCACCAACAATGGACACAGGCTGGAACAGGTCATTGTCTGCACTTCAGTGAGAAGCAGATTGCTAGTTGCCAGGAGTAACTCTCAGTCACAGGCCTGTGGACAGGCCACAGCTGAACAGCTGGGCCATGCGGGCCCACGACGTGCCTCAAAATACACAGTGACCATTTATTGTTTGAACTTAAACAGAGAGGGCTATGTTCTTCTCACCAGAGTCAGTCAGTCGCATCGCTTAATTTATATTTATAGCTGGCCTCTCCACCATCTGTGCACACGGCCCAGGCTGTTCCTCTGAGGAATTGGAGTGGCATTATTTGAAGACCTGATTAAATAGCCAGGAAAAAGCAATCCATCATGTATAAGGGGAGAAATGTAAGACAGTCACAGTGTTGTCCTGACACACTTTCAGATTTTTGTCTTCATTTTCTTTTACTTTTCTTTCTAATCCAATGCCAAATACAATAAACACTGACCAAGAGTGTAGAAGCCACTGACAACCCTCTACCATCTAGATAGAAAAAGAATAAATGATCAAGATTCTCTCGGGCTGGCGCAAGGGAGGAAGGAAACGATATTTTTGCTGAGGAGAGCCCTCCCTGTTCTTTTATGTCATGGAGACCGGAATGAATCAGGGTCCAAGAGAAATGCAAAGGCTACCTGTTGAAATCAGAGCTTCCAGGGAGATGGGAAATTGAAAGTCCACAGCTGGTTGATTAAATGAACTGAACTACTTCAGAATTAAAAAGACATAGCTTTATTTTTCTCTCATCCATTTTCAAACAAACCTTTGTCAGGTTTGTCTCCCCTCTTCTGATTGCAACTGGGGCCAATTTTCTGGCCCTCTGGTCACCCTAAAGCATTTAAAAAGTCTTATCTTTAGGTATTAATAATAACCCCCCCCAAACACCCATCATCATCACACACACACACATGCACACACCCCATTGTGATCTAAAAATATTCAACTGATATCCAATTTAAAATTTCTTCCCTTTTCCCAAAGAAGGTCTGAGACCACAATCCTGGAGGGCGTGGGGCCGTAGGATGGGCTGTCACTGTGTTTCCAGTTTCTCAGATCCATTTTTCCCTGTATTTAGGACTTTGCCAGGGTCACAGAAGGGATGATGGATTTGGAATAAGGAGACAAAGCTTGCTTTTCTCAGCTTACGGTTTCAGGAATCTACAGCATGGGAGGTAGGTAAATATCTCTTTTTTAAGAGGTAGTTCTATGGGTTCTGCAGAGACTCCCCCACCACAGGAATGTGGTCATAGACCCTTCCTAAAACTGGCAAGGCACTTTCTGGGTAACCTTTTTCTCTCAGGTAAGCTCCACTCTGGCAGTGTCCCTATAACCCCTTTTTGTTGGGACACTCTCAGCAGGCAGGCCTCTGGGGCAGGGTTGTTTCAAGAAGCTTTCACCCTTGCTGTCTTCAATGGAACCCTTGTTCTTCCCACTGTGGCCCTCCCCTTCCTCCTCCTTGCATTGCAGGCAGCTCCAGACAGTTTTCCATGAGAATAAATGTGCAATCACTTCTCAGAAACACACCCACGCATATGCACAATCGTCCAAGGGGCTTTCCTGGTGTCTGCACTACTTTGTCTTATGGTGGGGGTGGGGAAAATACCAAGACAAACTCTAATACCATGAATGACAGTACAGAGGATCCTCCATTCTGCTGAGCAGTTGCAGCCATCATCAATGGTCCTCTGTCAGCACCAAAAGGTCCTAGGAAGACACATCTCATGCTTCCTCTAGACATATGGGGTTGCTTATTCCACATATTTCTCCCAGTTGAAAAATCATGTTTAACTAGAATGTTCTAGCTCTACAAATTATGAAGCCACCAGTATTAGCTTAAAAGTGGACATATATTTGTTACTAATGATATAACACACACCTGGTTTTAGAGGTTCCTTTTCTTCTACTTATCCTAGTTCACCAGAAAAGAATGTACTTAGTTGCTCAAAGTTACACCAATACTTAAAGCACATTAAATGGAGGGAAAAGAACTAGTCCATCAGAGAAACTGGCAATCTGGACCAAGAGCTAACTGTCCCTTTTAATTCCAAGACAATTAATTCCTTTAGTTCCTTTACTTATCTGGGACTATTGTTCTGTATGTGCTTTTGTATTTCAATCAAGAAAAAAAAGAGAAAGTTATCTTTGCAAGAATTAAGAGACTCTTCAAATAATTGGCCAGGGGTTCACATAATACACAGACTTAAAAGGCATATTTTAAAAAGTAAAAGACAAATAAAGATGATTCTGCCTTATACATTTTAGCTACTTGCTATTAAACTTAAACTTCAGAGAAAGATTAAGAAGCGAGTGAGCCACGTCAAAAGGAAGGAAATTGGTCTGAAAGAGTTTAAATGTCTTTAACGTCATGTGAACACTTTTGATGGTAAGTATCAATAATAAATATTTTTAAAACATTTGGATCTATATAAACAACTGTTTGGTCCTCATTTTGAAAAATGAAGAGTTTTTTTTTTCTTTTTTACTTTCTTCAACATTAAACATTTCAAAGTAGCTCTTCAATTTTTTTCTTTTTAGTTCTCTCTATCCCCAGGAGAAACTGTGTCATTATGGAGATATTATATAGAAGGTGTAATATAGATTTATCCTAGTTTTGAATTTTAAACCTCCAGCCTAAAGCTCTGAAACACTATAAAACAAAATAAAAAAAAATTCCCAACGATAGAAAAAAGAACAGTTTACCAAAGTCTACTTCAAAGGATAGAAGACAATGGGCAGTGCCTGTGGCTCAAAGGAGTAGGGGCTGACCCCATATACTGGAGGTGGTAGGTTCAAACCCAGCCCCAGCCAAAAACTTCAAAAAAAAAAGGAGAATAGAAGACAAAAATCCCTTTACTTTTACTTTCAAGTGGTCTTACTGCTATTTTTCTACCAATTTCTATTGATTCAAGACTATATATAAGCATATATATATATGGTTTTTATAGTTATGTATACACATTTATATGCATATATACAGCTAAAATATACATACAACATATATGCTACATATATTATATATTTCATGTATCTGGAACACCAGAAGAATAGCAGGCCACAAAAGAGAAAGAAGGTAATAATTTAGTTGTGTTATCTTGAAAGGCTTTATTGTTCATGGTGATTTTTTTCTACACACATACACTAGAATATGTGTATAAATAATGTGCTAGAAGGAATATATTATCAATACAGAAGTGTCCAACTTGATAAAACAATTTCATATTGACTTTGGGGAATAGAGAAAATGACAGGGATTTTATAAATGGGCCATGCACAATGGTAACTGTGGTACCAGAGCAAAGTTCCCATCAACTTACCAGGCTTAGGGACGATGAGCTGGGCACTAGTCTGAGCATTTCCGGCTTCATTTTCAGCCACACATTGATAAAAGCCTTCATCTGACTTCACGACCCCAAGGATCCGTAAGTTGCTTCCTCCCTAAAAAAAAAAAAAAAAAAAATCAGGTGAAATATTTTAAAAAGGAAAAAGAAAAAGCCCCAAACGCTTAAGGCAACAAAATGAACTTAGACCAATGTTTATGAAGCATCACAGAGGGAACAAGAGGGGAGGCCAAGAGGGACATCTCGGCCCTCGGCCCATGTCCTGGGCCACCTGGGACCTGTCCTAAGTTCCCAGTACTCTTTTCTGAATGGACACGTAGCAGTGCAACCCAGCTCTGCAGTAAAAAAATAGGCTGCTGCATATGCACATCATCCTCAAAATCCAAATGCACAATCAACAGAGAGGCCTTTTATCAGGTACAGGAAGCAAAGATTAGCCACCAGTGAAATCTCCTTCTTTATTTTTTATTGAAGAAAGTTCAGGTTTAGTAGATGCAAAGGGGAAGAAAAAAAAAGGAAAAGAAAGAAAAACACTGATCTTTGCAGCTTCCAAAGCACAAAAAATCAAGGTTGGATATTTTCCGAAAATGTTTAGCCAGAAAACATGTCTAAAAATTTCTTTAAAATTTGTAACATCTCTGACATCTAGCCTCTTGGGGTATTGGAGAAGAAGTATGGTGGATATTTTTTTATCCGTGTAGTTTTCGTTGGCCAAAATGTTTCACCTTCTTAGATTAAATACAGAAATGTTAACTCCTCTTTTCCATAAATCGAGCTACCATCTTTTTCAAGGATGGATGATACAATGATCTAGAGATAGCATTTAATTAGACTAACTCAGTTTATCTTCGATATTAGTGTGAGAATTAGTTCAGTAAGTGAAACGTGTTAAATCACTTCCCCTGAAGTCATTAAGAGATAAATATTACCTCGTGGGGAATTCTTAATTGTTTTTAGTGTCTTGTAGTCAATTCTCAGCTGATGTTAAATTCTTAGATAAAGCTGGCTAACTTCTAATTAACAACTTTCATATAAGTGACTATTTGTGCTCAATCTTACGTGGGTGACAGGCAAGGGGTCTCAGATTTTTGGAGCTATTGGGGAAATATTTTTAAGCACATTCCCTGTGAGTAGGGTTACATACTGTACTTTTTCTTTTACCTTAAGAAAAGCAGAATTTAAATAGGTTGGCTGTCATGAGTCATGCTGGGAGAAAGATTATTTTCAAACTGTAGACAAAATAAATGTTGCATTTTATTACATGTCCTTAAGGGCACTCAACAATTTCCTTTATATGCAAGTAGCATATTTTTTTAGGCATATACAACACTTTTTAAGTTGCCCAGTGGAAGGTCATTTTTAATTCAGTGGTAGTGAAATAGCACTGCATTGAAAGGAACTAATAGATTGGCATGGCATTTAAAAGTTTTTTTTTTTTTCCTTTTCTTACTCTATACCTAACAAATTAAATACATACACTAAAAGGAAAACTTTAGAAGTGGTGATAAAAGTGGCAAAGCTATGCTTTATGGTTTTACTTCTTAAGAAATTTTGTACGTGTAGTATGCCAAAATGTATGCACAAAGAGATTACGAAACTTTCTAAAGTCGACCAGTTGTGGAAAAGGTATCTAGCAACAAGAGTCAGTGTAATGTCAGGGAGCCAGCTTGTGTCTAGACAGGATGGGCTGCTCCAGGCTCGTCCTATCTGGAGATCTGGATGAGAGGACAGCTCTTCCATGACAGAACCATGTCTGTATCTCAGACTTTGCATAAGTGAACCCAGATCCCTCTTCTTTAGATACAAAGCTCTTTGACTTTAGGAAAGTGCTTTTTATATTTCTCATCTGTTCACATACCTAACATCTGAACCTCCAATGCTAACTATACCTACAAGAAAGTTCTCATAGAGAATTTCCAAAAGAGCAAAAAGAATTCTGCTGTAACAGCAAAAACAATTATGGGAGGTATTGAGCAGGGCAACAACTCAGTGAATACAGTTCCATCATCTCCACCACCGCCCTGTAAGGAGAAGGATAGAGAGTGAGCCAAAGCTCACAGGAAACTATAACGACGATTTCTCTTAACTTCAGTTCTTTCTAGTGTTCACAATGACACTGCTCTGTGAACTCTCTGTGTCCTCTCTACCACCGCAGCCATCCCTGCCACCACCACGAGCACCTTCCCTGTCACCCCTACCCTTAACTGTTTCTGAAGGACCACCCAACCTATCTGGCAGGGTGGCAAAAACACTCTGTAACATCAAAGTAAAAACTACCATAATCATAGGTAGCACATCTTAATATAAACTTATTAAAATGGGTAAAAGTCAAATAAGTAAGACAATCTTGGTCGAATACAATCTAGAACTAGGTTCTAAATTCTACTCTATGAACTGGCAGTGAAATGACTTAGAAGGTCCATTCCTTCGGATTTTTCTTTGTTTTAAAGTTTTGTCTGTAAAACCAGAGGGCTGGACCATTTGATCTCTCTTTTCAGCTCAAAAATTCTTAAGTCTAAAAAGCCATTTGTTTTATTAGAATCATTTTCTTAGCACAGCATAAAAAATTCCCCATGGGAACTTTCCTCCCAGGAAAGAAAAGCAAGTGAAAAGATAACACACAGTGAATGGAATTGTAAAAGCTAATGTGAAAAAAGATAATTACCACTATCTGAAAATAGTCACTGGGAATGACCACGTCTCCATTTTTCATCCAGTTCACAGTGGGCACAGGCTTTCCCGAGACGGCACATTCAAACTCAATGTCCATGCTTTCATAGGCATAGAGATTGGAGGGGTGATTTAAAAACCATGGTGGAACTGCAAAGACAAAAAAAAAAAATGTGAGTGGTGAGGATGTGAACTTGTATGTTGTTGCAGTCTTCATGGAGTTAAAAAAGCCACGCTATGATAGAAAATATTTGTAATTCAAATCATCCCCTAAACCCTTAGCTTATTATACAGAAACTACTATAGAATAAATCATTTGTTCCCAAATGCAGTTAAACCGTTGCAGTTAATGGTGTTTTTCCATAAGGCAAGAAAAAAAAATTACATACATAATAACCATTCTGGATACCCGAGTATTTGTAGACAATTGACCCTCATACTGTAAAGTTCATACATCTTGGAAATTATGCTGGTGAGGTAAAGAAAGCAGAGCTGACAGGACTGAGTCAATCCAGAGGATAAGATGAAAAGTTCAGCTTCCTGACACTCCGGGGCTTCATCAGGATCTAGTTAATGTGATGGAGTCGTTCTCTGTTGAAACTGGCTACAGTGATAAGAAACTAAAAATGACTGTGCCATCTTCACTATGGACATATTTCCATGATCATAGCAATGACTGCAGTATATTACAATACTGCCTTATTATTTTCTGAGCAGGGTATGTGATATAATAATGTAATTTATTTTAATTGCCATTACACTAGTTACTCTAGGATGGAAATTCCCAATTGAATGAAAATATCCATCGTTTGGGCTCATGATCTCTCCAACTCAGTCCCTCAAAAATTTCAAAAGCAGTGTTGAAGCTCTTTGGGGGACAACACAGAATGAGTGAGGGCAGATTTGAATATCCCTGTTGCCTGAGAAATCAGGTTTAATCAGAGTAGTAGCTATAATCTTATTTCATGTAGAAGCTGATATGTATTCTTAGTGTCCATCTTTAAAGGTAGATGAGGTTTGTGGTTGTCATTGTGCTCAATGAGTAATCAGTGTTCATTTGTGGTTTGACTACTCGTTTTGATTTTTCCAACCACTATCAGCAAACCTTTCCCATGACACCAAAGGGAATGTTCAATCTTTGATGGTCAATGCCTTCTAGAAAAATGGGAGAGGCATTAGAAGCTTGTAAGATTTAAGTGTTGATTTGTCCTAGCGAAAGACCACTCTCTCTCTCTCCCTGCGTCTTATTTTCCTGATTTGTAACTAAATATTTGGACCTCGAGCACTAAATAACATTTAAATTATTTAATCCTTGACAGGGGCAAATTGATTGAGATGACTTGGCTGGGATGCATTAATATTAATGTCCTAAAGACATAAAAAATAATGCATCTGAAAGCCATTCTAAATAGAGCATGTCACCATAGTATACAGGGTTAAAATTATTAGTACCATAATTTGATTTTTTGGATGCCTGACAATGAATGAAAAGATATCAGAAACACTTACTGAATGTCTCTGAGCAGGTGTATGAGCTGAGGCTTCTCAATTCTGTTGTTTAACCACAGATTTTGACTAAGTGTTTACTAGCTGAGACTGAACATTTACTGAGAGTTAGCAACGCACAGTTTATTAGTCTAAACACTTTATTATTCTCATTCCTACTCTCGGAGGCACTTTCTATTATCCCCATTTTACAAATGAAGAGATTGAGGTAAAAGATGTTGAAATAACTTTTCCCAAATTACCCGGCTGATAAACTGTGAAGCCAGACAGCCTGACGCCCTGCCTTCATTCTGAACTGCTTTGCTATAATTGCCTCTTTCACCACTTGAAAATTCTGGTAGGAAGATAATGCGATATCATCTCGAGAGTCTCTTAATGGAGATAAGCAATTAGCGCCAGTAAAAAGCAACATCGTGTTTTCTTCCCCTCATCGTCCTTTAAGTCCTTCTGTCCTGGTGCTATGAAAACAACCTAAGTCTGTCCAGCCTTAGTTTTGTTTTTATCAGAATTCCTAGAATTATGTCTACATCAGAGCTGTTCCAAATTTGGCTCACATCATTAATAGATCTTGGGATTAATTTGCAGGATAAGAGCAAAATTTAAATATATGTTCTTGTTGGTGGGGCAGAGAAGAAGAAGAATATAGAAATAGAAAGGATTAGAGTGTAGAAGAAAAAAGGAAAAAGAAGAGCAGAGAACACCACATTTGCATTGTGAAGGGAAAACAGAAGCTTCCTTCCTCCCCCCTTTCCTCCCTCCTTCCCTTCCTCCCTCTTTTCCTCCCTCCCTACCTTCCCTCAGAGTCTCACTTTGACTCAAGTGCCATGGTGTCATCATAAGGCACAGAAACCTCAAACTCTTGGGCCCGAGCAGTCCTCCTGCCTCAACCTCCTGGGTAGCTGGGACTACAGGCATGTGCACAACGCCTGGCTACTTTTTTTTTCTATTTTAGTAGAGATGGGGTCTCATTCAGGCTAGTCCCAAACTCCCGAGCTGAACTAATTGACCTGTGTAGGCCTCCCAGAGTGCTAGGATTACAGGTGTGAGCCACCTGGCCTTTGAGAATTTTCAAGAACCCAAACAATGGAGCCAGAGGCTTGACTGAGCTGGATTTAGATTATAGCATCCCCTCTCCACTTTATACTGCCTCAGGCACTATCCTTGTCTCTAACCTGGAGACAAGAATTGAAGATAATGGCAGTTAATGTCTGTAAATGACAGTGTATAATTGTATACAAAAGAAAGGCAATAAATAGAAAAACATATCAGAGTGTATCACCTGCCGTAAACATAATTTTTATATTGTGTACAAGTATATAGAAACAGAATACATAAGTCAATATAAATGTGGGTCTCTCTGTGTTGTATACAGCCTCTTTTTTTTTTTTTTTTTTCCAAGTATATTATGTCCTGGTTCTCCAGTTAGAGTTATGTTTTGTGTTGGCAATGTCAAAAACAGTGTGCTTCACATAATAGAATTTCTTAAAAAACAAAGTATTACATTTTAACAATTGTTATTTTCTAACTGGTCCATGCAGATTCACTCTGTTTCTCCAGCGTGGATGGGTAGGGCTCGCCTTTCAATTTGCTGTCTCTCCATGGAACTAATCAAATCAACTAAATCAAAACTGATCACATAATGAATCCTCAGAACCTCTGTACAGCTGTCCCAAAAGTCACTTAGAAAGTCAATATACACAGAGAAACTAGGAAATTTTTAGCTAAATACATCTTTATTTATAAAATATTCATTACACAATTTTCCAAAGAGGTGTCTGACAGATTATTTTGTAAAATTGTGTAATCAATATTTTGTAAATAAAGGTGCATTTAGGCCTTATGTCTGATGAGTGTATGGGTGAGATTTGGGACACCATGTATTATTGCTAAATAAAAAATAGTAACCTCTGATTAACTAAGGAAAAAATAATCTGATTTCAGCATGTAATTATAGTTATAAGACTGCAAGTACCACGACTGTGTCAATAATTATTTTTTGCTTATAAATGTATATGTAAATTCTTATCTATACAACGTAGTCTCTAATCTTCTCATATTCTGTAGGATTTGAGCGTTACACTGGCTACTTGGGTCTTCTCTGACTGTTTTAATATCTTCATTTCTATATAAGCTTCCCTAACTATCACAGTGCATCAGACAGCAGATGAGGAAGAGAACATGGCCTTTCTCACTTAAAAGGGGAGTGGAGGCATCAAACAACAATATTGTGCATCAGAAATTGACCTAAGTTTCATGTTTTGAAATACACTGTCTATCAGAAAGTATAATCAGTCATCAGTGGATTATGTGAAAGGACAAGGATTTACCTTCATATCTCAATGCCCAGCACAGTGCCTTGCCCTCAGACACAAGCAACAAAGATTTTCAGTTGAGGTTAACCAGAACTCAAGCAAGAAAATGCACATTTGCACCCTTTGCTGTGGCAATGTGGGTACAAGGTGACAATGAGGAGGAGTTTGTACAATGTCATGGAAACTGTATCTACAAAGAAATATGATGTTCTTATCATGGAGAATAAATGCCAATGAGTAATGAGAAAAAAATCAAGGAGAAAGAATGTGGTGCCATTGCTATTTGGAGAACAGACAGCAGGTGTTTAGAGCACCATTCAGAAATAGTCTTAAAGCTCATTCTTAAAGTTCTTCTCTGAGCAAAAGGAATTGAAATACCCAACTTGGGAAAAGGTCTTAAAAAGGGCTAAATATATAGGCATGGGCTTGATTAGGAATGAGGAGACAGCTCTTTAGCCTTGGTTTAAAATAACACATCAACACATTGCTTCCTACTTTCTAAATATATCATCCCCACACCCTTTAAGTACTCTCCATGGTTCAATCAAATAGGAGGACATGGCCCTTTCCTAATTTCAAGTCTTTGTAAATTCTGTATTTTTATCCTGAAATGTTTTCCATTGTATCCCAGAATATAGATACCCTGCCTATCCTCCATGAATCCACTTCTCCAGAAGAACTTCTTTATATTTTTCCTGAAAAATTTCTTTCCTTATGGAAACTCTGTGGTATTTATTTTTATGGATTTATGACACCTGACTTGGATTGTTCCACACTGTATTTATTTGTGCATTTGCATTACCTTAGCATCAGTATATAACTCCTCGGGGGAAGAGGCTCTACCCTGCTAACGTGAATTGGTTACATCCCTTTACAGTTTTTACGATTGTACTGTTCCTCAAGGGAGTGGACAAATAAAGTTTACTTAGATTTTTTTCCTGGTTTGATTTCTCTAGTGGTTTGTTTTTTCCTGTGAAAAACAGACTAGACTCTATTCATCCCATGTTAAGATTGCTTCCTGGAATCTAAGATCTAGGTATAATTGTGTTATACTTTTCACAGCTCTGCAGTCCTATATTCTCCATGCAAATTGATGAAGTTGTCTCTAATTAAAGGTACATAGAAATAGCATTTATTATGGCACAACTTTCACCATATTCTGTATCTCCTCTATAGAAGAAAGACCAAGCTTTGGCTTTGCATTTGATACCTCGCAGAGAACTAGAAAACTTACTGACCAAAATCTTATCTCTCACTCCCTTTCTACAGAAATCATCTACTCCACCCAAATTAATCCTATTTGCTTGTAAATAAATTATTTAATGATTAAAA